TGTTGTGTCTTCATTCTCGTTGGTTTCAAATAACTTCTTTGTTTCCACCTTCATTTCATTGTTTATCCAGTCAACATTCAAGAACCAGTTGTTCAGTTTCCATGAAGCTGTGTGGTTCTGAGTTAGTTTCTGAATTCTGAGTTCTAGTTTGATTGCACTATGGTCTGAGAGACTGTTTGTTATGATTTCAGTTGTTTTGCATTTGCTGAGGAGTGCTTTACTTCCAATTGTGTGGTCAATTTTAGAGTAGGTGTGATGTGGCACTGAGAAGCATGTATATTCTGTGGATTTGGGGTGGAGAGTTCTGTAAATGTCTATCGGGTTTGCTTGTTCCAGGTCTGAGTTCAAGCCCTGGATATCCTTGTTAATATTCTGTCTGGTTGATCTGTCTAATACTGACAGTGGAATGTTAAAGTCTCCCACTATTATTGTGTGGGAGTCTAACTCTTTTTGTAAGTCGTTAAGAACTTGCCTTATATATCTGGGTGCTCCTGTATTGGGTCCATATATGTTCAGGATCGTTAGCTCTTCTTGTTGTATCGTTCCTTTTACCATTATGTAATGACCTTCTTTGTCTCTTTTGATCTTTGTTGCTTTAAAGTCTATTTTATCAGAGATGAGAATTGCAACTCCTGCTTTTTTTTGCTCTCCATTTGCTTGGTAAATCTTCCTCCATCCCTTTATTTTGAGCCTTTGTGTATCCTTGCCTATGAGATGGGTTTCCTGGTTACAGCACACAGATGGGTTTTGGCTTTTTATCCAATTTGCCCGTTTGTGTCTTTTGATTGGTGCATTTAGCCCATTTACATTTAGGGTTAATATTGTTATGTGTGAATTTGATACTGCCATTTTCATGCTAGCTGGCTCTTTTGCCCATTAGTTGATGTAGATTCTTTATTTTGTTGATGCCCTTTAGCATTTGGTATGTTTTTTGAATGTCTGGCACTGGTTGTTCCTTTCTATGTGTAGCACCTCTTCCAGGAGCTCTTGTAAAGCAGGCCTGGTGGTGACAAAATCTCTGAGTACTTGCTTGTTCGCAAAGGATTTTATTTTTCCTTCACTTATGAAGCTCAGTTTGGCTGGATATGAAATTCTGGGTTGAAAGTTCTTTTCTTTAAGGATGTTGAATATTGGCCCCCACTCTCTTCTGGCTTGTAGCATTTCTGCCGAGAGATCTGCTGTGAGTCTGATGGGCTTCCCTTTGTGGGTGACCTGACCTTTCTCTCTGGCTGCCCTTAGTATTTTCTCCTTCATTTCAACCCTGGTGAATCTGATGATTATGTGCCTTGGGGTTGCTCTTTTTGTGGAATATCTTTGAGGTGTTCTCTGTATTTCCTGGACTTGACTATTGGCCTGCCTTGCTAGGTTGAAGAAATTTTCCTGAATAATATCCTGAAGAGTATTTTCCAGCTTGGATTCATTCTCTTCATCACATTCTGGTACACCTAGCAAACGTAGGTTAGGTCTCTTCACATAGTCCCACATTTCTTGGAGACTTTGTTCATTCCTTTTTGTGCTTTTTTCTCTAATCTTGGTTTCTCGTTTTATTTCATTGAGTTGATCTTTGACTTTTGATATTCTTTCTTCTGCTTGGTCAGTTCGGCTGTTGAATCTTGTGCATGCTTCGCGAAGTTCTCGTGTTGTGTTTTTCAGCTCCTTCAATTCATTCATATTCCTCTCTAAGTTATCCATTCTGGTTATCATTTTCTCGAATCTTTTTTCAAGTTTCTTAGTTTCTTTGCATTGATTTAGAACATGTTCTTTTAGCTCACAGAATTTTCTCATTACCCACCTTCTGAAGTCTGATTTTGTCATTTCATCACACTCATTCACTGTCCAGTTTTCTTCCCTTGCTGGTGAGGAGTTTTGGTCCTTTGTAGGAGGCAAGGTGTTTTGGTTTCAGGTGTTTTCCTCCTTTTTGTGCTGGTTTCTTCCCATCTTTGTGGGTTTATCCACCTGTCGTCTGAGTAGTTGCTGACTTTTTGATTGGGTCTCTGAGTGGACACCCAGATTGTTGATGATGAAGTATTTCTGTTACTTAGTTTTCCTTCTAACAGTCTAGCCCCTCTGCTGCAGGACTGCTGAGGTCCACTTCAGGCCCTGCTTGTCTGGCGTACACCTGTAGCAGCTGCAGAACAGTGAGGGGTACTACCAGTTTCTTCTTCTGCTATCTTTGTCCCAGAATGATGCCCACCATATGTCAGTCTGATTAGTCCTTTTTGAGGTGACTCTTTGGATATAGAGGGGTCAGGGAGCTGTTTGAGGAGGCAGTCTGTACTTTATAGGAGCTCAAGTGCTGAGCTATGAGCTCCGTTGATCATTCAGGTCAGTTAGGCCAGTACGTTTAAGTCTGCTGCAGCAGAACTCATAAAACCCCTTTTTTTCCTCAGATGCTCTGTCTCGGGGAGTTAAGGCCTTCTTTGTGAGTATCCATTGCACCTTTCTGCCCAGCTAGGAGGCAGTTGAGTCACTATTTGCCTGTTGAGGTTCTGCCCTGCTGCCGCAGGCTCCACCTTGTTGGTGGAGTCTCTCTGTTATGGCGGGTTGCCTTGGCAACAGCAGGCTGCATCAGTAATGGGAGTATACCTCAGTAGGGGCGGTATGCCTCGGTAATGGCAGACGCCCCTCCCCCACCGAGCTGCACCTTCCGGAGCTGCGCCCGCAGTGAAACTCTCAACCTCTAGCATTTCAAATTGCGGTTTTGTTTGTCCCTGCGGGGGTGGGACCCGCCGAGCCTAATCACCTGGCTCCCTGCCTCAGAGCCCTTTTTTTTTTTTTTTTTTAAGTAGAACGGTTGACTCTCTCTTAGGTGTTTCAGTTGGCTGCTGATACGGCACCGGGATCTGTGTGATTTCCCATGCAGCGACCCACCGTGCTGGCTCAAACGTCTCTTCCCAGGTCTGGCTTGCTGTCCAAGTCCCGTTTAATCAGATGGATATGCTAATCTGCCCTCCCACATCTCAGATTGCTGGTTTAACAGGGCATCCAGACCAGTGAGTTCTGTGTGGAGTGCCACTGCACTGCGGCACCGGCCAAAGCAGCCGCGCAAGCCTTAACAGCTGCGCTGGCGTTGTGTGTCTCTCCTACACCTGGGAATTTCCCCGTTCTGTGGGCAACAGTGATCCGTCTGGAAATGCAGATTAAACTCACCCTCTGCATCTTCACTGAGAGCTGCAATCCTGATTTGCTCCTACCGTGCCATCTTGGCCAGGTCAAGACTATCCTTTTAGTTAGTTGTTCAAGACAAAATGTTACAATCATTCTTGACTTCTCCCTTTATCTAGTACTTTGTATCTAATCCACTAGAAAATTCTTTTGACTCTTTAAAAAAATATGTCTGGAGGGCCGGGTGTGGTGGCTCACGCCTGTAATCCCAGCACTTTGGGAGGCCAAGGTGGGCAGGTCACCTGAGGTCAGAAGTTCAAGACCAGCCTGACCAACATGGTGAAATCCCGTCTCTAAAAAGAAAATTAAAATATAAAATAATAAAATAAATTTAAAAACGTCCAGAATCCAGCCATCGCCTTCTACCCTGGTTGTGTCACCAGCATCCCTAACATTGATTACTCTAAAGACCCTCTAAATGGTTTCCCTGTTTTTTGTCTTCTCTTCTCTTCTCGATTCTCTCCTCTCCTTCCCTTCTATACTTAGCTTTATGATGCTGAGCTTGAGACTCTATAAACTATGTTTCTGGCTCCATGTTAAATTCTGCCAACAGGGAGTGCTAGAGGGATTCTGAAAAGCTGGAAAATGAAGTTCCCTTCCCCACCCCTCCTCCCCTCTCCTGCACTGTGTGCCACCCCCAGCTAACTTATATTTTTAGTAGAGACAGGGTTTTGCCATGTTGGCCAGGCTGGTCTAGAACTCCTGGCCTCAGGCAATGCACTCACCTCAGCCTCCTAAAGTGCTGGGATTTCAGGCATGAGCCATCATGCCTAGCCAAATGGTTTCCCTATTTCTACTGTTGATTCCTTTGTTCCAGCCCACCCCCAGTCTATGCTCAACACAAATCCAGAAAGATCTGATTAAAACCTAGGTCAGATCATATTACGCCTTGGTTTTAAACCCTAAATAGCTTTCTTTTTATCTCAGAAAATAAGCTCGTCCTTTCGAGGCTTTCAGAAGTAATGCATCCATTACTTTTCTTATCCCCTATTACTTTTTCTTTTGAGACAGAGTCTGGCTCTGTAACCCAGGCTGGAGTGCGATGGGCTCATCTTAGCTTACTGCAACCTCTGCTTCCTGGGTTCAAGTGATTTTTCCTGCCTCAGCCTCCTGAGTAGCTGGGACTACAGGCATGTACCACTAGGGCTGGCTAATGTTTGTATTTTTAGTAGAGATGGGGTTTCACCATGTTGGCCAGGCTGGTCTCGAACTCCTGACCTTAGGTGATCTGCCTGCCTTAGCCTCCCAAAGTGCTGGGATTACAGCATGCCCAGACTCCCTATTACTTTTTTACTTAGTTACTTAGCTTCAGTTACCTGACCTTCTTCTTGTTCTTTGAATACACCAGGCATGCTCCTGCCTTTGGTTCTTTGTCATTATCCTCTTTGCCTGCAAAACTTTTTGTCTAGAAATCCCCACAAAACCCTCACTTCTTTCAAGTGTTTGCTCAAATGTTACCTTTCCAAGGAGGCCTGATTACCAATTTAAGAAATATGCCTGCCTCTTTCCCCAACACACGCTGCTTTCCTTTATCTACTTCTCATATATTTCCATAGCATATATCATTTTCCAACATATTATATAATGTACTTATGTTTAATGTTTATTGTTTATTGCTTATTTCTCCTGCCAGAATGTAAGCTCCATGGGGCAGTGACCTTTGTACTGTTTACTGATATAGCCTACATGCTTAGAACAGTGCCTGGCATGTGATAAATCCTCTATAAATACTTGTTAAATAAATGAGTGGAAGAAATATTATTGTGTTAAAAATATGGTGCCATATAAAACTTTAAGATCACACAATGTAGTATTTGCTGTAACATCTCACTCACCTGTAACATTTTTAACTTCATCCATCATCATGTTCAAATCAATCTTCCCATTATCTTTAAGATAAAAAAAGCAAAAAGATTTATGAAAAATGATATAAGGTCCTTACATTTTGAAATAGAAACCCAAAAGTCAATTATTCAAAAACATTTCCCTAGAAGTTTATTTTTCCAAGTCCAATGCTCATGAATTTAATTGATATAGCTACTACTATTTACCCTACAAATAATCAAAATCTATATTTCACAATGCAAGAGTAAAGTTTAAAGCATTCTTCTTTCCTTCAGGACAATCTATTATCTAGTAAGTTAGTCTTTTCAGGGGTTGGAAATTTGAGAAAAAATTTTATTTAAAAATGGTATTTCCATTTTTGTCAATGCTGACTTTACCTTTAGGCTTATGATCACTTTTAGTTATCCACTAAAAGATTAGAGTATTGGTATCCATGTCTGGTTGCTCTTAGATTGCCAACATGATAAGTATGCAGTTAAAGTCCATTTGTGATGACAAAACTTTTATTTTGTTGTGACCATTCTCAATTAAAATATATTTTCATAGATCATGTACTTAATTTCTTTGATCGGTATTTCTCAAATTAAAGTCTGAAGTCACTGGAAGTCAAGTTTGAGAGATGTTATTACTCTCATAGGCAAGATTCAGTTTGGAACCTTAAAGCTGCTGAAGGACACACTCATTTTTTACTTATGACTTGGTCAAGGGTGCCAATTCATCACTGCTCAAATATGTTTGCACTGTTGTATTATTTGTAATATTCCTAAGACTATAAGTTTATCTGAAGACGAGATACCAAGAATCACTTTGCATTCTTACTATCACCTAGGCATTAGTGTAATGGTTTGCACAAGATTGATGCTCCATAAATATTTACTAAATAATAGTTTTAGCAAAATGCAAACATATTATAAAGAATGAATTAGCGGGCTTTCTGGCGCGGAGCGGTAGCGGGCGCAGCTAGCGGGTCGGCCGTGGAGCGGAGGTGCAGCTCGGCTTCCCCTGACATCCCTCCCCTTCGGGCGCCAGCGCCACCCCTCTGCTGGCCGGGCCGACCCCGCCATACTATCCCCTGCGGCGCGAGCCCGGGGTGGCTCCGGGCGCCCGCCAGCAGACCCCCATCATGGGTAGCCAGAGCTCCAAGGCTCCCCGGGGCTACGTGACCGCCGAGGAGGCAGCAGGCGCTTCCCCTGCGAAGGCCAACTGCCAGGAGAATGGCCACGTGAAAAGCAATGGAGACTTATCCCCCAAGGGTGAAGGGGAGTCGCCCCCCGTGAACGGAACAGATGAGGCAGCAGGGGCCACTGGCGATACCATCGAGCCAGCACCTCCTAGCCAGGGTGCTGAGGCCAAGGGGGAGGTCCCTCCCAAGGAGACCCCCAAGAAGAAGAAGAAATTCTCTTTCAAGAAGCCTTTCAAATTGAGCGGCCTGTCCTTCAAGAGAAATCGGAAGGAGGGTGGGGGTGATTCTTCTGCCTCCTCACCCACAGAGGAAGAGCAGGAGCAGGGGGAGATCGGTGCCTGCAGCGACGAGGGCGAGGGCACTGCCCAGGAAGGGAAGGATGCTGCCACCCCTGAGAGCCAGGAGCCCCAGGCCAAGGGGACAGAGGCTAGTGCGGCCTCAGAAGAAGAGGCAGGGCCCCAGGCTACAGAGCCATCCACTCCCTCAGGGCCGGAGAGTGGCCCTACACCAGCCAGTGCTGAGCAGAATGAGTAGCTAGGTGGGGGCAGGTGGGTGATCTCTAAGCTGCAAAAACTGTGCTGTCCTTGTGAGGTCACTGCCGGGACCTGGTGCCCTGGCTGCCTTCCTGTGCCCAGAAACGAAGGGGCTATTGCCTCCTCCCAGCCACGTTCCCTTTCCTCCTCTCCCTCCTGTGGATTCTCCCATCAGCCATCTGGTTCTCCTCTTAAGGCCAGTTGAAGATGGTCCCTTACAGCTTCCCAAGTTAGGTTAGTGATGTGAAATGCTCCTGTCCCTGGCCCTACCTCCTTCCCTGTCCCCACCCCTGCATAAGGCAATTGTTGGTTTTCTTCCTCAATTCTTTTTCCAAGTATGTTTTGTTTACCTTACTCCCCAAATCCCTGAGTCAGAGATGGGGTGCTTATACTCCCAAACCTTGAGTGTCCAGCCTTCCCCTGTTGTTTTTAGTCTCTTGTGCTGTGCCTAGTGGCACCTTGGCTGGGGAGGACACTGCCCCGTCTAGGTTTTTATAAATGTCTTACTCAAGTTCAAACCTCCAGCTTGTGAATCAACTGTGTCTCTTTTTTGACTTGATAAGCAAGTATTAGGCTTTGGGGTGGGGGGAGGTCTGTAATGTGAAACAACTTCTTGTTGTCTTTTTTTCTCCCATTGTTGTAAATAACTTTTAATGGCCAAACCCCAGATTTGTACTTTTTTTTTTCTAACTGCTAAAACCATTCTCTTCTACCTGGTTTTATTGTAACATTTGGAAAAGGAATAAATGTCATCCCTTTTAAAAAAAAAAAAAAGAATGAATTAGCTTTAAATTATTATATTCTAGGTTCTTAAATACAGAATTTATATTTGTTCTTTTAAAATATTGATTATGACAATCTTTTGCTGGTATTCTTTTTTCTCTTTTTGAGATAAAGACTCACTCTGTTGCCTAGGCTGGACAATCCACCTGCCTCACTATCCCAAGTAGCTTGGACTAAAGGCACATACCACCATCCCTGGATAATTTTTTTTTTTTTTTTGAGACAGAGTCTCATTCTGTTGTCTAGGCTGGAGTGTAGGGGCACGATCTTGGCTCACTGCAACCTCCACCTCTTGGGTTCAAGCAATTCTCCTGCCTCAGCCTCCTGAGTAGCTGGGATTATGGGTGTGCACTACCACGCTCAGTTAATTTTTGTAATTTTAGTAGAATTGGGGTTTCAATCTGTTGCCCAGGTTGGTCTCAAACTCCTGGCCTCATGCGATCCATCTTACTTGGCCTCCCAAAGTGCTGGGATTACAGGTGTGAACCACTGTGCCCAGCCATTCCTGGACAATTAAAAGAAATACTTTTTAGAGATGAGGTCTTGCTATGTTGTCTAGGCTGGTTTTGAAGTCCTAGTCTCAAGAGATCCTCGCGCCTCAGCCACCCAAAGTGCTGGGATTACAGAGGTGAGCCACTGTACCTGGCCTGGTATTATTTTACAGTTTTATAATACTTTATTAATATGGTTACTATTATAACTTTTAAATAGTACAAGGATGAACTTTTTTTTGATAAAAGTCTGCCTGTAAATGACATGCCACCACACTCTTCACTTTCTGTGTTTCCAATTAGCTCTACTGAGGCCCATTAGGTTCTGAAACAATATTCTATCTTATCCCAGATGATTAAACAGATGTGCAAGATATTCTACAAGAATGATATTAAGGGCCTCACACTTTAAATCACTGTGCTGGTGATGTTCTAAGATACTAGGACAACAGGGTAACCGCAAATATCTACATTTATTGCATTGGTAGGTTGAAAGAGCTATAGAAGAGATTTAAAAACAAAAGAAAAATTCATTTTTTGAAAACTGCTTGCTTATTAAGGTGAAGGTACCATGGGCTTAGAACAGTGCTTGATGCATCATAGGCATTAAAGTTGATGGAATCAAAGAATAAAAGGTACTACTGATTTAGAAAAGCACATACAGTATTCATTGACTTGGGTGAATTTTATATTTTTACTATTTCCTCTAGGGAGCAGTAGTCCCCCAAAATTTTCTGATGAAATTTTTTCAGTTCCACTAGCATGAGACCATCTAAAATATGCCAAGTTTAATGAATTTCATTTGTAACATTACTAAATACTTTTTAAAATTTGTTAATTCTATTAGCTCATGGAAGTATAGCATTGTGGTTAAGAGACAGTTTCTGAAGCCTGATTGTCTAGGTTCTTTTCCTGGCTCCATTTTTTACTAGCTTTCTGCCTTTGGGCAAGTGACTTTTCTGTGCCTTAGCTTCCTTACATGTAGAATGGGGATAAAAACAGAACCTACCTTTTAGGGTTGTTTGCAAGATTAAATAAGTTGATACATGAAAGTGCTTAGCATAGTGCCTTGCATGTGTCAGGACCACATGGTGTTGGTCATGGCTATTTAATGCTGGATTAGCAGTAGAGACTAAAATATGTCCTGTGTATTTTTGTTAAATCTTGGCATTTCCTGTGGTGTTACATAGTGAGTTGACACTTGTTATTTATGTTGGCAGTATTCTTGGTGATTCTTCCCACACAGTAGCCATTGGGTTCAGTTTGGTAGTTATGGTGAAGGCCTTATTCTTTCATTTCTTTCCATATGTATCCTATTTTCAATCATTCCAGCCCCTTCAATCACTCCAGCCCCACTACTAGCCTTATGCTCAAAGGTTTACTAAGGGGTACACTGATGTTCAAACGCTCACCATCAACTGGTAGGTGGTCCTTCAGTAACTGGATTTCTTTCTCCTTGAGATCAATTCCTGTGCTTTTCATGAACATTTCCATCTTATCTGAAGACACCTTTACTCCTTAAGAAATAAGGGGATGAATGCAAGAAAATTTGTAATGATATGAAGAGTGGGGATTTTTTGCTCATATCTAGGCATCAATACTATTCACAGAATGAAGGGCAAAGAACAATGAAACTATTAAAGTAAACATGGTTTTTGGTATATAAGTCAGGAATTTCTAAACCCCGAGCTGTGGGATTCTGTTATGGCTTTTAGGAGAACTAAAGATCAAAATCAACCTTTATAAATGTGTCTGCATCATAAGATTTAAAACTTGCTAAAATAATGGAGAAGAATAAATAACCAAGTAAAGTCCACGGGTTTACTCCATCATAATCCCCTGGAAATATTTTTAAAATTTTTATATTTTAATTGACATAATAATATTTGCATATTTTAAAGGGTACAATGTGATGTTTTGATACATGTAAACATTGTAGAATAATCAAATAAGTGTAATTAGTATATCTATCACCTCAAATATTTATCATTTCTTTATGGTGAGAACATTAAAATCCTTTCTTGTAGCCTGAAAAACACATTATCATTAATTATAGCTATCTTGCTCTGCAATAGAACACCAGAACTTATTCCTCCCAACACTAACTTTGTATCTGTTGACCAATATCTTCTGGGACAGTTTTTTCACCTTTTCTGTTTATTTTATTTGTTTACTTAAAGTTCTGGGATACATATGCAGAACGTGCAGGTTGGTTACATAGGTATACATGTGTCATGGTGGTTTGCTGCACCTATCAACTGGTCATCTAGGTTTTAAGCCCCACATGCATTAGCTATTTGTTCTAATGCTCTCTCTCTCCTTGCTCCCAAGCTCTAGACAGGCCCCAGTGTGTGATGTTCCCTTCCCTGTGTCCACGTGTTCTCATTGTTCAACTCCCACTTAGGAGGGAGAACATGTGGTGTTTGGTTTTCTGTTCCTGGGTCAGTTTGCTGAGAATGATGGTTTCCAGCTTCATCCATGTCCCTGCAAAGGACATGAACTCATTCTTTTTTATGGTTGCATAGTATTCCATGGTGTATATGTGCCACATTTTCTTTATCCAGTCTATCGTTGATGGGCATTTTGGTAAATAATTTCATTATTTATGAAATAATAAAATTGAGCAGATTGTTCAATTTCCATGAAGTTGTGCAGTTTTGAGTGAGTTTCTTAATCCTGAGTTTTAATTTGATTGCACTGTGGTCTGAGAGACTGATATGATTTCTGTTCATTTGCATTTGCTAAGAAGTGTTTTACTTCCAATTATTTGTTTGATTTTAGAATAAGCGCTATGTGGCACTGAGAAAAATGTATATTTTGTTGATTTTGGGGAGTTCTGTAGATGTCTATTAGGTTCCCTTGGTCCAGAGCTGAGTTCAAGTCCCAAATATCCTTGTTAATTTTCTGTCTTGTTGATCTGTCTAATATATTTTTTTATTGCATTTTAGGTTTTGGGGTACATGTGAAGAACATGCAAGATTGTTGCATAGGTACACACGTGGCAGTGTGATTTGCTGCCTTCCTCCCCTTCACCTATATGAGGCATTTCTCCCCATGCTATCTCTCCCCAGCTCCCCGCCCTCTGCTGTCCCTCCTCTATTTCCCCCAACAGACCCCAGGGTGTAATGCTCCCCTCCCTGTGTCCATGTGTTCTCATTGTTCAACACCCGCCTATGAGTGAGAATATGCGGTATTTCATTTTCTGTTCTTGTGTCACTTTGCTGAGAATGATGGTCTCCAGGTTCGTCCATGTCCCTACAAAGGACACGAACTCATCATTTTTGATGGCTGCATAATATTCCATGGTGTATATGTGCCACATTTTCCCTGTCCAGCCTATCACCGATGGGAATTTGGGTTGGTTCCAGGTCTTTGCTATTGTAAACAGTGCTGCAATGAACATTCGTGTGCATGTGTCCTTATAGTAGAATGATTTATAAACCTCTGGATATATACCCAGTAATAGGATTGCTGGGTCAAATGGAATTTCTATTTCTAGGTCCTTCAGGAATTGCCACACTGCCTTCTACAATGGTTGAACTAATTTACACTCCCACCAGCAGTGTAAAAGTGTTCCTATTTCTCCACAGCCTCTCCAGCATCTGTTGTCTCCAGATTGTTTAATGATTGCCATTCTAACTAGCGTGAGATGGTATCTCAATGTAGTTTTGATTTGCATCTCTCTAATGACCAGTGACGATGAGCATTTTTTCATATGATTGTTGGCCTCATGTATGTCTTCTTTTGTGAGGTGTCTGTTCATATCCTTTGCCCACTTTTGAATGGGCTTGTTTGTTTTGTTCTTGTAAATCTGTTTTAGTTCTTTGTAAATTCTGGATATCAGCCCTTTGTCAAATGGGTAAACTGCAAAAATTTTTTCCCATTCTGTTGGTTGCCGATTCACTCTAATGACTGTTTCTTTTGCCATGCAGAAGCTGTGGAGTTTGATTAGGTTCCATTTGTCTATTTTGGCTTTTGTTGCCAATGCTTTTGGTGTTTTGGTCATGAAGTCCTGAATGGTTTTACCTAGATTTTCTTCTAGGGTTTTTATGGAGTTAGGTCTTATGTTTAAGTCTTTAATCCATCTGAAGTTAATTTTAATGTAAGGTGTCAGGAAGGGGTCTAGTTTCTGCTTTCTGCACATAGCTAGCCAGTTTTCCCAACACCATTTATTAAACAGGGAATCCTTTTCCCATTGCTTGTTTTTGTTAGGTTTGTCAAAGATCGGATGCTTGTAGATAATGTTGTGTTGCCTCCGAGGCCTCTGTTCTGTTCCATTGGTCTATATCTCTGTTTCGGTACCAGTACCATGCTGTTTTGATTACTGTAGCCTTGTAGTACAGTTTGAAGTCCGATAGCATGATGCCTCCTGCTGTGTTCTTTTTGCTTAGAATTGACTTGGCTGTGCGGGCTCTCTTTTGGTTCCATATGAAGTTTAAGGTGGTTTTTTTTCAGTTCTGTGAAGAAGGTCATTGGTAACTTGATGGGGATAGCGTTGAATCTATAAATTACTTTGGACAGTATGGCCATTTTCACAATATTGATTCTTCCTAACCATGAACATGGAATGTTTCTCCATCTGTTTGTGTCCTCTCTTATTTCGTTGAGCAGTGGTTTGTAGTTCTCCTTGAAGAGGTCCTTTACATTCCTTGTTAGTTGTATTCCTAGGTATTTTATTCTCTTTATAGCAATTGTGAATGGCAGTTCATTCTTGATTTGGATCTCTTTAAGTCTGTTATTGGTGTATAGAAATGCTTGTGATTTTTGCACATTGATTTTCTATCCTGAGACTTTGCTGAAGTTGCTTATTAGTTTCAGGAGATTTTGGGCTGAGATGATGGGATCTTCTAGATATACAATCATGTCGTCTGCAAATAGAGACAATTTGGCTTCCTCCTTTCCTATTTGAATACCCTTTATTTCTTTTTCTTGTCTGATTGCTCTGGCTAGAACTTCCAGCACTATATTGAATAGGAGTGGTGAGAGAGGGCATCCTTGTCTAGTGCTAGATTTCAAAGGGAATGCTTCCAGTTTTTGCCCATTCAGTATGATATTGGCTGTTGGTTTGTCATAAATAGCTTTTATTATTTTGAGATACGTTCCATCGATACCGAGTTTATTGAGGGTTTTTAGCATAAAGGGCTGTTGAATTCTGTCAAATGCCTTCTCTGCATCAATTGAGATAATCATGTGGTTTTTGTCTTTGGTTCTGTTTATGTGGTGAATTATGTTTATAGACTTGCGTATGTTGAACCAGCATCCCTGGGATGAATCCTACTTGATCATGGTGGATAAGCTCTTTGATGTGCTGTTCCAATCAGCTTTCCAGTATTTTATTGAAGATTTTTGCATCTATGTTCATCATGGATAATGGCCTGAAGTTTTCTTGTTGAGTCTCTGCCGGGTTTTGGTATCAGGATGATGTGGGTCTCATAAAATGATTTGGGAAGGATTCCCTCTTTTTGGATTATTTGGAATAGATTCAGAAGGAATGGTACCAGCTCTTCTTTGTGTGTCTGGTAGAATTCGGCTGTGACCCCATCTGGACCTGGGCTTTTTTTGAGTGGTAGGCTCTTAACTGCTGCCTCAACTTCAGATCCTGTTATTGGTCTATTCAGGGTTTCGACTTCTTCCCAGTTTAGGCTTGGGAGGATGCAAGTGTCCAGATATTTATGCATTTCTTCCAGGTTTACTAGTTTATGTGCATAGAGTTGTCTGTAATAATTTCTGATGATGGTTTGAATTTCTGTGGAATCTGTGGTGATATCCCCTTTGTCGTTTTTTATTGCATCTATTTGTTTCTTCTCTCTTTTCTTTTTTATTAATCTGGCTAGTGGTCTGTCTATTTTGTTGATGTTTTCAAAAAACCATCTCCTGGATTTTTGATTTTTTAAAGGGTTTTTTGGGTCTCTATCTCCTTCAGTTCAGCTCTGATCTTAGTTATTTCTTGTCTTCTGCTAGGTTTTGAGTTTTCTGTATCTTGCTCCTCTAGTTCTTTCAATTTTGACGATAGCGTGTCAATTTTGGATCTCTCCCTTCTTTTTATGTGGGTACTTATTGCTATATATTTTCCTCTAGAGACTGCTTTAAACGTGTCCCAGAGAGTCTGGTATGTTGTGTCTTCATTCTCGTTTGTTTTGAAGAACTTCTTTATTTCTACCTTTATTATTGTTTATCCAGTCAACATTCAAGAGCCAGTTGTTCAGTTTCCATGAAGCTGTGCAGTTCTGAGTTAGTTTCTGAATTCTGAGTTCTAACTTGATTGCACTGTGGTCTGAGAGACTGTTATGATTTCCGTTCTTTCACATTTGCTGAGGAGTGATTTCCTTCCAATTATGTGGTCAATTTTAGAGTAGGTGTGATGTGGTGCTGAGAGGAACGTATATTCTGTAGATTTGGGAAGGAGAGTTCTGTAAAAGTCTATCAGGTTTGCTTGTTCCAGGTCTGAGTTCAAGCCTGGATATCCTTGTTAATTTTCTGTCTGGTTGATCTGTCTAATATTGACAATTCGGTGTTA